CAGTATTGGGGTTTGAATCCAGGAACTTTGCACTGAGCTACATTCCCAGCCCCTTTTCATTTTTATATCAAGAGAGTTTTGCTGAATTACTAAGTTTCCCAGCTCATGATCCACCTGCCTCAGCTTTCCAGAGTGCTGGATTTCAGTTGTGCAACACACACCAGGCTCAAAATAAACCTTAATTTTCTCAGGCATTTTTCTGGGTGAGGGAAGGCTGACTGATGTAGAGCCCAGGTTTATCAGGTGAGTGTCCAGGATGGTGAGCCTAGTGGTGCTGAGATCGAGTGGCAGTTCAGACTGTGAGGGCCTAAGATCACCATTTTGTTTCTCATCAATCTGTGATTTGAGTTTTATGTGATTATCTATTATTTCACAAGAGGTACAAAACAGTGATTTTTAAAAATTCTACTATTCCTTTTGTGTTCAGTGGCTTCAATTGTTCCATCAAGCAAAACTTTTTATTAATTATTTGGTTACCTTGAAAGGTAGTTGATACAGAAATTCATTGTAATTTCTTTTTAGTCATTTACCAGTATAATGAAAGCTAATCAGTAGGGCAAGACAATGCACACCTGTAATCTCAGGTACCTGGGGAGCCTGCAGCAACAGGACTACAAGTTTGAGGCCAGCCTGGGCAATTTAGTAAAATGAAAAATTTAATATCTTTGTTTTTAGACAGGGTCTCGGTACAGTTCAGGTTGGCCTGGAATTGGGGTGATCCGCCTGTCCCAGCCTCTCCAGTGTTGGGATTATAGGTATACCTAACTATTAAATACCTTTCTTTAAACTTTTATTTCATTATAAAAATGTGTGGTCATTTTAAAAAAGATAACAAAGAAAGTTACTTTGAAATTATAAACCTGTCAAAAAGTGTGCTTTTCATCACATAGGTCAAGAAGGAAACTATGTTTAATATTTGTGTCCTCACAATGTGACTGACACATCTGTGTTAGGAACAGATAGGAAGTATATATGGTAGAATGACATTTATGTAAAGCACACTTTAAAACATAAAGGAAACCACTCGGGGATGCTAAGGCAGGAGGATCACTGCAAGTTCAATACCAACCAGATCCTGTCTCAAAAACAAAAACAAAAACACGAAAAAGGAAAAAAAGTAAATAATAGTTTTTCTTGAGAATGATTATCTTATTTTAAAAAACAGTATAACTAAACTAAGCTTAAAGCACATCAGGAATTTGTGGAAGGTAAGTTTAAAAAGTCTTTTTAAGTATCAAAGAGATTTTTTTCTAAATAATTTGGAAATAAATATGTTTCATCACAAGCACTATTACATTTTATATTTTCAGGGAGGCGGTGAAACGTGTTGATGCCTAAGGTCTCGTGAAGGAAAGGGGAATGTTTCTACCTCTGGTGCTACCTGCTACTGATCAAACCCCTCACTCTGGACACAGGTGGAACCTGTGGGTCTAGTTGGAGATGACCCGGAAGTACTCCCAAGTGACCCGGAAACTCTCTGAAGTGACCCGAAAATGCTCTGCGGTGACGCTAGGGAGAGAATTGCTTCCCAGAAACACAGGTCTCTCTCTCTCTCTCTCTCTATATATATATATGTATATTATATAATACATTTTATATAATATAAATATATTTAATATCTATATCATATATATATCTGTATCGTGTAGCAGAGATTTCTTTATTGTTTTCGTTTGTGGTGCAGTGCTGGGGACGGAACCCAGGGGCTTGAGCCTCGCAATCCAGTCCCGCTCTCCTCCTGCTGTTCACAGATGAGAGGAGGGTGTTGCACAAGGCCATCTCCCCAGGTCTACGGGCAGGAAGAGGAGGCTTCTAGATCAGGGCTTTGTGTTGCTTTCCGGAGAGAAAGTAAGCCTGGTAGGAAGGAGGCAAACTGGCCAGGCCGAGCCATCTGCCGGCTGCCCCGGAAGCACGGAGCTCAGCCGGCGTCCCTTCTCCTGTTTGGGGAGCAGGACCCCTGGCTGCACCCCAATTACAGGCTCTGCAGGGCGGGATACAGGGCGAGGCCTGCTTTCCTTCACACCCTGCTGGAAGCAAAGCCTAGAGCAGCTGTCTTCTAGCTTGGGAGTTGTCCTAGGATGGGCAGGACATGAGCTGTGTGTGGCGAGACACTGGGGACAGGTTCAAGGCCTCTGAGGTCCTCTCAGAGCTCGGCAGGAGTCTGAGTTTACAAGAAATCAGTACAAATAGTCTTGTGACTAAGGAGGAATCATTGACTCCCACTGGGGGTTGTCCCAGTTACAGAAAGATCCGGGTAGGTAGGGATTGTGAGTTTCTCTTTCTGATCACTAGGGGGTATTCGAGGCCAGCAGGAGTCAGCCACATTTGAAAGACAGAGCTCATGCCCTAAAGTTCACTGGTGGGAGCCAGCCGAGGACTGCGATCCACCAGACCCAGCAGAGCCTAGGAGCACGGAGGTCTCGGTGCAGTGGCTCTGCCCTCGGGCCAGCCATGGTGGGAAAGCAAGAGCCACGCGTAACACTTGGCCTCGGCCCCTAGAGAAAAGGCCACCCAATGTGGCAGAGGCAGCTGGGCAGCAGGTGAGATGCACGGCACACGGCCCATTCCTCTTCCCCAGCCAGTGCGTCAGGGAAAAAGAGAGAGAGGAAGGAAGGAGAGCAGCGGTTGACAGTCCCCACGGGCCTGGTGGCAGTGTCTCTGGACTTTAGCAGCAGTGGAGACGCCTCCTATTGGCTGGAGGACCCTGGAAATTCAGAAGTTCATGGGATGCAGGCTGGGCTCCTTTTACAGTGGACACTTGGTGGGGTGGGGTGGTGCTGGCACCCACGGCCTCCCCTAGGGCCACAGGAACAAGTCTGGGCCAAGTATTTCATGCTCACCTTTCAATCTGCCCGGTCACTGGTCAGCTGTATCCTCCTGATGATGTGAGGTCATGGATTTTCTCCACGTGGCCTCCTGTCCCCAACCAGGTGCTCCCTTCCCCTTCGGTTCATCTTTCCCTTTGTTTCTTTGTCGAAACCCCCCAATTCTCCCAGTGTTGTGTTTTAAAGGTCTCTGGTGCTGCCGATCAGCAACCAGGCTCTTCTGTCTACCGCTCTTTTCCAAGCAGTGTCCAAGCGGGGGGAGAATGAGGCGGGCATAGTCACGGAAACCCACACGAGGACCTATGGGCCAGGGGCCACATCAGCAAGCGGGACCTTCTGTGGGTCGCAGGGTTGCAGGCAACTCAGAGGAGTGCAGCTTTGAGTAGCAGAGGCTGGGGAGGAAAACCTTTCTGCTGGGCCTAGTTTTAATCTGCTGGGCTTTTTTTTTACGTTGGTGTCAATTTATGCATAAGAGAGATGCTCTGGGATGTCACAAGGCCATGATAGGAAAAGCTTGAGACTTATAGCTAAAGACACTAGTGCAAGAGCAGTGCTCTGTCCCCACGTGGCGGGCAGGTCACCAGCACCCACGTCACCAGCCAAGCTGCTCTAGCTGCAGCAGGACGGGAGGATGCTGTCCCCTGGAGGACAAGGACACCTCTGCTGGGGCTGGCCTGGGGGCGCTCCAGAGCACCTCAGCCGGCACCATCACCAGCCCTGGAGCTCGGGAAGGGGCTCACTGTTACAGCTCACCTGTTCCCTTTCCACCTCTCCTGACCTGCCTCCCATCTCTGCAAGCCCAGGCTGCTTTCTGAGCGCTGCAGAGTGAGCCGGGTACTGCCTTGGCGCCTCCTCCCTTTTCTCGCACAGGTTCACAGACCAGCATTTTGGAAATGGGCATTTTAGGAGCCAAATTTGAAATTCTGCCATCAAAACCAAGACCACGGTGTGAAACCTTAGGGGTGGGGCAGAGAGGGTTGGTTCTGGGAAGGGTCCTGTCTCAGGCCCCTGGGGGCCACCACCATGCCCTGGCTTCACAGATGTGGCTGCTCCCTCCATTCGAAGACCCCTCTCAACCCAGGCCACCATTCCAGTCACAGCTGGCTGCCAGGAAGCTGGGCTTCACACAGGCAGGCAGCACAGTCTCTCCCACCTCTGGGCAGGCGGTGGGCTTAATCTTGGACTGGGGAGAGGAGAAGAAGCCGGCACGCAAGAGTTCCCACTGGCCCTGCACACCCAGGTCCACAGCAACCTGGATGGAGGGATGGCATCTATGTGCCAGGAAGTGGGCGAAGTGGAACCCACACATTTGAGCTCAGAAATGACAAAATCAGGTAGAGTATCAATGAACGGCCTTCCGGTGATTTAGGGGGAAAACGTAGTTACTGGGAAGTGCATCAGTTCAGGTCACCCCCTAAAGCCCAACTATCTCTGACAGTGAAGTACTAGTTCTTTTGATTTTTTTTTTTTTTTTGGTATCGGGGATTGAACTCATGACCCTGTGCTTGCCAGACAGGGACTTATGCCACCAAGCTAAATCCCTGGCACTCTTTGTTTTGAGACAGGATCTTACTGTGTCACCCAGGTTCAGTAGCTGGGACCCCAGGCATGCACCCCACTCCTGGCTACAGATTAGTGCCTTTTAGCTCTCTATGTGGATCCCACATGCCTGTGAGCAGCTGTTAACGGAGCAGCATTGCTGGTCCCACTTTCCCAGTGCCCACTTGCAGCCCGTGGTGACCCTGCTTTTGTCCGACCTCTGGGATCCCCCCTAAGCTGTGTCTCTCCTGGAATCAGGAAGTTGCACTTCTCCCGACCAGGGAAGTCTAACCCCTGGGCCAGGCTGGGGGGACCCCCACGGAAGAACTGGTCAGACACACAGTTGGTCTGCCCTTGGGTCCCGGGCAGGGGAATGACTCAGAGGGCCTGCAGAAGCTCCGATACTGGGCTGCACCCCACAAATCCTGGTGTTGGGTGCACCTCGAGATTGTGTTTCCACTAAGTTCCAGATGACACACTGCCAGTCTGGGGACCTTGCTTCTATCTCAGCTTCCTCCAAATACCCGCAAGGACCAAAGCTCACAGGCACCCAGCTCCTGTCTTCCGAGTCCCCGGGCCCCCAGAGCTGGGACCCAGGCCTGCTGCTCAGTAAAATAAGACGCCAAGACACTTGGATCTTGTTAGCTGGATATATTTTTTTCAGATTTTTTTTTTTTTTTTTTTTTCCTTTTTTGTCACAGAACACTGTTTGCAGTAGAGGAAACTGGCATTGCAGTCTGGCAGTAAATGGCTTGTTCACAAAACCAGAGCATGTTCATCCTTTAGCGCAGAAAGCCCTAATGGCGCGTACCCTATTGGAATTCAGGACCTCTCCAGTATTTTCTCTCTCTGTTTTTGTCTTCTTTTTTTCTTTTTAATAAACATTTTCAAGGTTTGTCCAAAAGAAGGCCATACAGGCTCTCGGCTAGCGGAAGACAATTCAGAACGGCTGTCACACACTTGGCCTGTCACCTTCTCCAGGCTGGCAGTTGATTTTTTTTCCAACTCATTTTTATTAAAAAAATAAAAAAATGCTCCAACTATCACTTTTACAAAATCTCTAAGGGAAACACAAGAGCAAGGTGCTGAGGTAAAAAACACCTGAGGTAGCTTTTTTTGTGTGTGTTTTTGTTTTTAAAAAATCTGTAAATTTTTAACGCCCTGGGCCAACAACCTTGTGTAAATTGTTATTTTCCTCCACTTTTTTTTTTTTTTTGTTTTGTTTTGAAAAGAAATCATTTCACTGAACATGGATGGCTTTATACACCACAATGTAAAACGACAAAATACATTCTTTCTCTATGGGCTTTTCCTCGGTTTGGGTGGCTGGTTGGTTTGACGGGTTCCTGTTTTCCTCTTCCGAAAGGCTAGGACAAGTACCACTGACTCTTGTTCTCTTGAGTGACCAAGTGTAAGCTGAGGCTGGTTTGTGTGTTCGCATTTGTTCCTCCTGCGTGATGTGAGACTCAGAGCACTGCTTTGCCTGGGGTGCAGAGATACGGGACGGATACAGAGTGGGATGAGAGACAGAGAGAGACAGAAAGTTCTATAGCAGATGCAAAAAACCAGTTTAAAACCTGTGAAGCCAAAAGAAACAGGTGTGAGCTAGACAGGTGGCGAGGGCCGGGCCCCCCCGCGAGACGGTACCCCTTCTGCTGAGACATGGTGACCCAGCACTGCTGCGTGCATCCTTCGACCAGAATCCCCTCTGGGTGAATTCTGTGGGTGGCCTTGAGGTTTCTTTCTACACCATGAGACCTCCCCCCAAGAAAGACTTTATTCTTTAAAGTCTAGAAAAGCCTGCTTTCTGGTTGAAAAAAGAAAACAAAATTAATAATTAATTGAGTAAAAATTGGGAGTTAGTCGAGTTATTTGATATATTATTTCTAAAATATATTAATGCTGCAGGCACCCTGTATAACCTACAGGCCACATATCTTAACATCTTTCCCCTTCTAATATGTACACACATGTACAGAGACGATTTTCCACAAAAGAGAAAAAAAAAAAAAAGGAAAAAAAAAAAAAGAAAAGAGGGGAATTTGCTTTGCTTTGAACACGTTCACCTATGTTAGTTCAACTAAAAGGGGTAGCGTCGTGGGGGTTGGGGAGGCCCGAGTGGATGGGTGTGATGGCTGGGAAGCCTGCAGAGGCGGGGAGGCGCGGCGGCTCTGGGGACCCCAGATTCCCGGCAGCCCCTCTTCGGCGTGGCGGCGTTGTGGGCGCTGCCCTGCAGACTTCTCGCCCCTCAGGATGGTCTTTGGTTTGCTCCCGATCTGCTGGCTGTGTTTGGTCGAGGCGGTCAGGTGTTGGGAGGGCTACATTCATCCGTTGTTTGCTGGTGCCGGGCAGCCTCACTTGCTGCGCTGTGAGGTGACTCCCTGAGGGTACTTCTGCTCCTGCTGCTTAACCTGCTGTACGATTTCCCTGATCTTGCGCTGTGCAGTCTGCAGCACAGAAGAGAAGGGGGGGGGGGGCAGGTCACTTCCTCCAGCCCTTACTGGGGGCCTTTCCTGCCCAGCAGTGAGTGGCAGAGGCCTCTTGCTCCGCAATGCAGGCCACTGAGGAGCAGGCAGAAATAGGACCCCACCAATTGGCAGCTCAAGGACACAAGGCTAGGTCGCAGCAGAGGGGTCTGGATGAGGGCCTTGTGGGGGACACCCAAGGGTGGGCTGTGTGACAGCTGGGAAGGAGAGGCCAGGCCGGGAGGGCTATGCAGATGGTAGCCAGGGCCACACCTGGTAGAGGCTGCAGGTCCCCACCAGCAAGGAACAGGGAAAACCCCCAAGTGAGGCGGGCATATGGGGGCTGTGCCATGAAGGGCCCTGAATAAGCCAGCAGCAGCGGTGTGCGGAGCTTGAACAGATGCCGTGGAGCAGTGAACAGGAAGTGGAGGGGAAAGCTTGGGTCCCTGCGATGCACACTGAACGTGTTGTGGTGACACCTTGGCACCAGGTCCCTCCAGGCCTTGGGGACCCCACGGGGAGGCAGGTGGGCACATAGGGGCTTTCTACACTGCTAGCTGCCCCACCTCCTTGGCTCTCCCTGCATGTGAGGGGAAGTGGGGAGAAGGAATGGGAGAGTCTCCCGCGTGGCTGGCAGTCCCTGCAGAGCCAGGAAGGGGGGCTACGCTGCAGGCGTTGGTGTAGGTGGGGGTGAGCGCAGCCTGGATGGTGGTGCCCAGCGGCCCCGGAGGAGGACTGGAAAGAAGGCAGCAAAGAGGGGCAGCCCAGAGGGTGCAGGTACCTGGCTGGCAAAGAAATGCCCGATAATCCTGACAATCACTTCCTCATTCTCATCTGGCGTTTGGTCACGAGGCACAATGACTTCAGCGCTGGTCAGGTTCTGCAGTTCATTCACCTGCAAGGGGAGGCAACCGTGGGAGGGTGGCCCCGAGGGAGACTGAGCAGGCCGTGGGGACAAGAGAGGGCGCCCCAGGGGCCCACACCCCTGCTGGTGCAGCTTCTTGCCGTCAGGGCTGCTGAGCACTCATGGTACCAGAGCTGCCCCCATGGCGTTAAGAAGGCCCCTGAAAGGCCAGAGTGCTGGGGAGGAGTGGACAGCTCGTCCGGCTGCTGCTCCCTCACAGGCCACCTCCTCGGGAAGCCCTAGCCTCCCCCAGGGTCACTGAGCCCTTCCTGGGGGGTGGTGCTCCTCCGCTGGCCCTGGCCGAGGTCAGTGAGTACGAGAGGAGCTCGGGGACTCAGGACACTAAATCCTGAGCACCTGTGCAGCGTGGGCTCAGAACTCTGCTCCGGGCTGCAGGAATGGGGCTGCTTCCACCCACAGGGGCCCGGCCCTGGGTCCCGGGACAAGGGCGGCTGCGCGGCTGATACACTAAGGCACTGAGGACTCTAGCCCCATGTTCTGGAGCGACGCTGACTGCCTATCTGATGCCCAGGGCGCCAAGGCAGCCGGTGCTGAGTGGGAAGGGCCAGAGGGCACAGAAGGCGGGAGGACAGGAGCTCCAGAGAGCTGGGGCCCACCAGCTGCCCGCCGTCCACTTACGGTTTTGCCGCCTTTGCCGATCACCCGGCCGGCGGTGGAGGAGGGTACTCTGATGTGGGCTTCCAGCTTCACCTCTTCTTTGGGGTTGAAGAAGTTTTCTTCTTTCAGTTTCCCGAAGATCCGTCCCTGCGCCTAGGGAGATGGTGTGACAGGGACCAGTCAGCTGGCAGCACTGCTCTGCTGGGTTGGGGAGGCAACAGGGCGGGCCGGGCCGGACACGAGGACCCGCATGTCACCTGCACAGCCTGGGATCTGCTGGGCACCTGGGCGCCCCAGCCAGTCCCTAAGTGCAAGGTGGGGGGCTGCAGACCCAGGCCTCTGCAGCTTAGCTGTGCAACAGCCTGTCACCCCACTCTGAAGCCAGTGCAGCCAAGAGGCCATTTCCTTAAACACAACCCCCACCCCCCTTTTCGAGCTTGGACAGACCACGTCTTGTCCACTCACACATGGAAGCAGTTCTGTGTTTGCAGTACTGGGGAATGAACCGGGGGTGCTCTCCACTGCCTTACATCCCAGCCCTCATTTTTTTCCTAAAGCACTCAGCTAGGCTCTATTTTGGGATCCTCCTGCCTCAGCCTCCAAGCATGCTGAGGTGACAGGTCTGCACCATGCAGCCTAGTGGAGGCTTGTTTTTGAATCATTTCTTGTGTTCATTTTATCCTTTTGGTTTAATGTTTTAAGCTTTTTATTAAAAGGGGTGCGTGTTTATAAATTAATACACATTTCTGGTTTTAGAACACTCGTTTATATAATTTTCCAAGAGGAGAGATCAAGGCAGAAAGACAAAACGATGCATCTCCTCGGACTCTTGAGGCCCCAGGCCTTTCAGCTTACACCCTGTGTTGACAACAGCCAGCCCGCCCAGGCCTCCGAGGTCACCCGCACTGACCTTGAACTGGGCTTCAGGGGGTCCGGTGATGATGACCATCCGCTCGCTGACATCAGGGCCTTCGGCCGGGGCAATCTGCAGGTCACCAGGAGAGGACCACACTTGCACGGGGGCTCTCGTGCTCACCTTCAGAGCCACCTCCACCCCCACCCAGCCTTAAGAAGCTGAGACCGTAAAGCTCAGGACTGAATGTCCATCTTCAGCCACAGAGGGATGGGGCGGCTCAGTGGTTCCTGCCTGGGCAGCTGCAGGGGAACCGGCCTCCTTTCACTACGCAGAGTGCCCACCAGAGCCCAGAGCCCAGAGCCCAGAGCCGCAGGGCTCTTCTCTCAGCAAGGACAGAGCCCAGCAGGGCAGGGAGGCGCCTCCTCTGGGCAAGGACCCAGGAGTCCTACAGCACCAGAGTAGGGGAGGACGCCAGGCTTCCAGCCCCAGCCTGGCCCTGAAAGACCCAGCCCTCCCCACACCTCTCCTGTCTCCTCGAGAAGGGTGTAGGATGGAGGTGAAGCACAGTGCCACCTCTGGACTCTGTCTGAATTCTTGTAACACAGACCACAGACCCAGTGAAGATTTCTTCAGTTAGAGGTCACTGTTCTTATTTATTTATTTATTTATTTATTTAATCGGTACCAGGGATCGAACTCACGACCACGTACTTGCAAGGTAGGCTCTTATGCTGCTGAGCTAAATCCCCAGCCCCATTGTTCATTTTTTAAAAATGTATTCTTGTCCTTATTCCAAAAAGATGTAACTTTAAAAAACACAAAATCAAGCCAGGTGCAGCGCTGCACTTACAGTCCCGGCTACTCTGAGGCTGCAGTGGAAGCCCAGGCGTTCACGACCAGCCAGGCAACATAGCAAGGAATACAAATTGAACAAATACAAAGCAAAACCCAATTAGCAAACTGTTACTTTCATTAAAAGTAAAATGAATTTGCAGTACACAGGCTGTTAGGAAGGTCAACATGAGCTAGGAATGAGCTTAGTACAAATAGTGCACTCACAAGGGGTCTCAGGGGGGCCAGGTTCATTTCCAAGGTGTTCTGTTTGCATTTGCAGTACCAAAACTGACCCCAGGACACTGCACTGAGCTACTTCCTAGCGTTTTTTTTTAATCGGTACCAGGGATCGAACTCACAACTGCCTGCTTGCAAGGCAGGAGCTTATGCCACTGAGCTAAATCCCCAGCCCCTCAGCCTTTTTGTTTTAAAACAAAGTGAACTTGGGATCCTCCTGCCTCAGCTTCCTAGAGCACAGGGATTAGTGGCATGCATTACCACTGCCAGCTCCACTTCTTACTAAGAGCAAATATAAAAAAGGAGACAGCCATTTACAGGGTTCCTAATGAAAAGCAACCCTGGCAGCACAGGGGAGACCCTGTTCCTGAGATTGAGCCCTGCTGGGAAAGAACTGGGACCTCCCACCCATGCCACACGTGTGGCTCTGGCCCCCAGTGTCCCTGCCTCAGCCTCTCTGGAAGCTGCAAGCTGTTCTCTCCACTGCTGTGCATCCTCCTCCTGAAGTCTACACTCAAAGACAGGCTCCTTGGGTGGACTCAGCACCCTGGCAGTCCTCAGAAATCACCCCGAGGCGCATGCTGACCCTGGCCTGCCCGAAAGGTAGGGCCTGGACCTGGTCTTTGAAGAGCTCTCTGGCCTTGACAACCACAAGGGTGAATGCACGTGAGACTCAGGTGACCCACAACTTGGCTTCTCAGGGTCCACCCTTCACCACAAGTAGCTACTTCTAGTTTCCAGGCAGTGGCCTCAGCAGCCCTGGGGTCCAGGACCCAGGGTGGGTCTCACACAGCTGGCAGGGGCTGGCAGTGACTAATCCATTCTGGTGCCACTGTCTACTTCCAGGTGACTGTGGTGCTCTGCCTGGATCCCCAAAGGAGCCCCCGCAGCTCTCCTTGTGTGCTTCCGAGGCTGTGGGACCATGTCCCAGGGGCAGGAAGGTGAAGCCTGCAGTGTCCACTGGATCCGAAGGTGCGAGGTGACACCAGGCTCACAAGGGAGGCAGAGGTCACAGAGGATTGGGAGTGGGAAGCCCTGGCCAATACTGTGGACTGTGTTTTGTGCTATGCTCAGAAGCCTGCTGACTGCAGCTCACAGAAAAGGTGGGTGACGGGAACCTGACCCCCATACCTCCTGGGACACAGCCCTGGTCCGGCTTAGCTGGCCATATGCTTGGCTTCCACGGCCCAGTGTGGAGCTCTCCCCACCCAGCAGCACCAGAAGTGCTTGGTTTCCAGGCCCTGAAGACCAGCAAGGCAGAAACCTGGTCTCTCAGGAGCCGGCGAGGTCCCCACCCCGTCCTGACTGCCAAGATGACAGGAATCCTGAGAAGATCACAGACACTCAAAGCAGAAGATTCCTCTTGAAAACACTTGGCTTTTCCAGTTTTCTTCCTTACACAGCGAGGTGTGGCTGAGTAGGAGATCGTAGGGCTCGAGTGAGCACAAAGCGGGCTCGCCCATCCTGACCTGGTGCAGCCCTGATGTCCCTGTCAGGGGTCACGAGCCCAGTGACACGGCATTGACTGACGGTGCTCGTGCAGACTGTGAAGGGTTCTGGGGTGCAGCCCAGGGACTGCGCTTTCTCCCCATTTCTCTACAGGCCTCCTGGGAATAGCCCAGAAGGGCATGAGGGCTCCTGTGGGGAGCAGAGGCAGCCCCAGCTCCTCCATTCTCCAGCTCTGTGGCCGTGGGGGTGTCTGTGGGACCCCCGAGCCCAGCTCCTGGGCAGCAGTGGATTTCAAACCCAAAAGCAGCACTGCTCCTATGGTGCCTGGACCCCGTCCTCATGCTCTGTGTCTGTTTCCTGACTGAGCAAAGGGAGATTTGAGGACCAGACCCCTCAGGTCCCTGCCATGGAAACGGGCTTATCAGGCTCTTGCTGGCACCTCCGACTGCAGCACTGAAGGGTGGGCAAGGCCCTTGGAGCAGCTGGCCAGGTCCACAAGCTCCCCATGCCACATGGGAACTGACAGGCCCCTAGGCGTCAGCGCCTGAGCCAGGGTCCTGCACATTGCCCACACCTCGGGCTCCATCTGCTAGGTCATCACCAGGCCTGGGGAGATAAGTGAGGCCTGAGAGGGAAACGATTTCCCAAGAGCGCATTCCTTCACGGTCTCACAATGGTCCCTGTGCTGTGCGACTCAGAGGGCTTTGTTTTTCTTTTTCCCCAACACACTTGCTGTGGGAGAAATTCCAGCGCTTCCTGGGCAGAGAGGAGAAGCATTCTTTCTCTCCAAGTCATGAGACCTCTTGTTCGGAATTCCGGGTTGTCTTGTGGTAGCAAATTGTTTTCATAACAACGGAAACTCTTGTTTCTGAGTGTTTCTCGGGGCTCGGAATGTGCTCAGCTCAGCGAGCTGCTGGGGAGTTGGGGCCCACAGCTGCTGGGCAGCAGGGCCAGGGCCCCTTGCAGCCACTCGGGGGGACGTGTGGTGGGTGCCGGAGCAGGGCCGTCACTGCGCTCACGCCTGCTCCCGTTCACCCAGCGACTGCTTCCTGGGCCTCCAGCTTTGGTTCACCTGTGATTTTATCATCACTTCGCAGAGTTTTGCATTCAAATCATCCCCACTGGCTGCTCAAGTGTGGAGTCACAAAGGCATCAGAGACAGCCATGCGCCAACAGCTGAGGCTCATAGCCCTGGAGCCCCCCACAGTGGTCCCCAACTTTTCGCTGCACTTTTGAGGAGGAGAGGAGGAAAGAGAAGGGAAGACAGAAGAATAGAGAAGTTAGACTGCAAAGAGGACCTGGCTGGGCTGCTCTTTTCGGTTTTTCTAATTCAGTTGTTAGCCGAATAGAGTAAGCAGAGGAAAATGGGAGGAGCTGGGAGGAGTCCTAGAGGTGACGCTCCCAGTCCCCGACTCTGTCCGGACGCTGTCAGAGCAGCCTGGGACTAGCAGAAGGACATGGGGACAAGGAGCAGGCGGGGTGGCCTTACCTTGATGGAGGCCCCTGCAAACCGCGCCAGCTGCTTGATGTGCGCCCCTTTCTTCCCGATGATGGCGCCGACGGCCTGGGTCGGGATGAAGAGATTCACGATCTCCTGCTCCGGGTACTGGAAAGGCAGCCGGGATGGGTAACACTGTTACAATGGGCCATCTCGTCTCAGCCATGAGCCAGGATAGTCTGGGAGCCCGAGGGGAGGCCACAAGACACAGGGAAACGGCAGGATGCCGCAGGGCGCTCTCTGGGGCCACAGTTGGAGTGGTCCTGCACCGGGCAGGCTGCCGGCCAGTCCCAGCGACCGCTCCTCCTCCGGAGCCTCCAAGGGTGCGGGGTGCCAACAGCTGCCCATCAGACACAGATCTGATAAGTGCTTTTCCAAGCTCCTCACCAAAGAAATCAAAACAGTGCTAAGCACAAGTGGCCAGGGTGCCTGGGAAAGGGAAGGAAAAGGTGCCCAGCCCACCCAGGGAGTCAGGAATCGAATCTGCTCTTGGCAACCACCCCTGCCCTGACCGGGCAGCATAATGACATCCCAGGGGATGGCCTGCCACCCATCCTGGAACCCTTTGGGCAGAGAGAAGGCTCTTGGGCAAGGCAGCCAGCAGGAGTCACGCCCCCTCTGCAGGGCTTTCTTCATACCAGAGACCAAGGAGACCGGGGCGGTGGTGGCAGGGGTAGAAGCAAGGGGCACTCACGGAGTGATGGTGCGGGAACGGGCCGAACTGGTGATGGGGGTACAGGCTGGAGAAGTATCCGGAGTGGGTCTGCGGCAGAACAAAGCAATTGACCCATGAGTAGTCGTTCCCACTGGACCGCTACCCAAGGCCACCGTCACGTCCTCATGCCTGGCCTCAGTGTCTCAGATTTATTTTCTCCTTTCCCTCCCTTGCACCACTGAAAACTTGGCAAGACATCACCTGACCACAGTAACCCTCTGGGCTGAGTGTTGGTTTCTAAGCCGCGCCATGCCGTAGGCTTCCTAGGAACTTGGCACTGGAGTGCTCGTGGGTGCGCACACCTACACAGAGTTCTGACTTGCCCTTGAGCAGAGAGACAGGGCTAGAGGCTTCCATTTCCTGGGGAATTGAGTGAGTCATGCACTACAGGGAACAGAGAGTCCTGGGACAGTATCTAAGTTACTCGGATCCAAGCGGGTGTGCTCCCAGAAGACAGACCACTCAGCTCCATCAGAGAACTGCACACAGGAGAGAGTGGAGAAACTGAGAGAGGTTGCAAAAGATAGCCAGAGAATGAATGAATGGGTGGATGTACTGGATGTGAACATGGAAAGAGGGACCCAGGAACAAGAGGGCAAATGTGGGCAGAAGGGATCACAGCCCCTGATGAGAAGATCTAGTTTAACTGAATACACCCACTGGGTGCCGCGCACTAAGACACACTTTATATATATTTGCAAGTCCTTTTAATCCTCCCAGTCATACTGCAAGACTGGAATGTCTGGTTTAATACATCCCTATGGCCAGAGTCCCTAAGGCTAGCTAACTGCTTCACACAGGGCCCAGTGGCACGGATGTTCTGTGAGAGGAGGGTCAGCTCTGGGTACCATGGCACCCGTGCCTGCACAATGGCACTCTGGGAAGACGGCCACAGCAGTGCAAGACACAGATGAAATTTGGGGTAGGGGACTTAGTTTCTGATGAAGGTCCCTGGCTTGTTTTCTGTCTCCTGAATCTTCAGCTGGACTCAGTTCAAGGTCATAAAGTTCAGCCTGTCTCCTTTGGGACCCAGTGGGACTGATTCTCTTTTGGAGCATGGGGAGAGAGAAGGCAGAGACTCCCCAACCCAGGGCTGCTGACTCTGCAACACGCTGGCCATAATCTGGAAAAAGGCTGCAGTGACACCCTATGCCCACAAGAGGGTGCTACAAAACCAGTGATTTCAAGGCAATCTCAAGGTACACAGCAAAGAGCTTGGTCTGGGGTCCTGCCTGTTTACGGAGAGCTACTTGGGAAGCCCATGGGCTCATGGGATCTAGATCCTTCTCTGTACAGGTCCCTGTCCTGCATCACGAAGGGCAGAAGGAAAATCCCTGCACCCTTTCTGCTCAAAGTTCTGTCCTGGGTAAAGAGCCTTCCACCCTCTTGTTGGAAGCACGGTCCCTGGGCTGTCACCGCAGAAACAGTTCCTTTCCCTTGTCACGTGCCTTCTCTTCTAAGGCTTGTGTGAAACCAAGAGCGTGGTGGCCCACTTTAGGCCCAAACAGGGCTAACGTAACCCTAATCACATGAGACCTACTGCTTGGGGTCAGGAGATTTCATTCACTGTAAAAGGGTAAGAAGGGTGAACTCCCTTCACTCACAGTCACCAGACAGCTGTAAGGAAGGAAGCTTGCAGTCCCTGCCAGTAGAGCCTGCAACCTCTGTGCACCTCTGTGGACACTGATGGAGCTGGAGATCCGGGTCTGCCTGGCCCGTTCTCCAAGCAGGGATGTCTGAGTAAATCACTGTCTTCTCCACACGAGGAATACAACGATCTCCAGCTCTTACACTATGGCTGGGAGGATTCACTCAACTGTTTATCCATTCATTCAAAAGCTCTTGAGTGCCTAAAGTGGGAGGCACCATTCCAGGTACTAGGGACACAGTTATTGGGGCAGAAACTGCCACCAGAGATTCATGATTCCTCAGAAGCAGACACAAAAGGTGACTCTGGAGAAGTGCACTGGCGGAAATAGAGAGGACGCAATGAAGAGGCATGGAAGCCTGGGGGTGGGGGGTGGCCCTCCCTGCAGTGGGGACAAGGACCAGAGGTGACCGAGCTGGAGCCCCGGGCAAGGCCAGGGGAACATTGTGCAGAGTGGGGCTCACAAAAGTCCAGAGCCAGGACCTGGCTTTCACATGTGCTTCCTTGATGCCTGGAAATACTAACCTGCCAGAGACCTGAAGAAAACAGGCTGCAGTCACCTGACAGGGACCCGGGAACCCAACCCAGCGCGCGGCAGTGTCTGTATATGGGAGAAGCTACTTTATCGCAAGGATGTAGGGAGTTTCAGGACAGCAGATGGGCACAGGCAGTGCGGCGGGACAGGTGCCCTGGTGCACCCCAGCCCAACACCCAGCAGACGGTGGCCCGAGTCATCCCCGTCCCTATTGATTTCTAACCCTGCCTGAGGCTTCTCCAGGTGATTCTGCTGGGGAATGGGAAGAGGACCACGCCTCCGACACAGCTGTGAACATTCGAAGGTGCCACCACCAGCCGGGCTGCTTTCACGGCAGAGCGCAGTGTCTGGGCTGCGTGTGGGAGCACCTGACCCGAGACTTCCGGGATGCTCGGAAACAGGAGGAAAGAGAGGAAAGAGAGAGGAACAGGAAGAGTGGGAGAGCGAGGACTCCTGCCCCGGCAGACCAGTCCCCCCGGTAAGCAGGGCCTCGGGCTGCAGAGGAAGGAGACCTGGTCAGAGGTGGCGGTGGGGACTCACAGGTGCCCTGTTCTGCCCCATCTGTCGGAGCGTCTCTGTCCGCGGTAGCTGTGTACCCGCCTCTGGGTGCTCCTGAGGACACTGAAGAGGGCCAGGGGAGCTAGAGACGGGTAAGTTCGCCAAGACGCACAAGAGATGTGCACACAGGTCTCTGTACGTGATCCCGCAGCCTGAGACCTTAACCCAGACGCACAACACTGCACCCATGGGGGTGCTGGAAGTCACTGCTGTGGATGGGGCCTCGGAGCGGGCTGTGAAAAGGCTTCAGTAAAGTGCTTGCTGTTGAGTTTAAGTCAAAATGGGTGACTGAAGCTTACTGGAAACATACCAGCAGAACCAGCCGCATCAAAGATGGGAGCAAAGCAAGCCAGGGACTCCCAGTGAATTTATTCAGAAAGAGGAAGAGCTTTTCAGAAAGTTCTGCTTCTTTGTTTTTTTTGTTTTTTTGGTCTTGAGACAAGATTTCACTATACAGTTCAGGCTGGCCTTGAACTTGCAACAATCCTCCTGCCTCAGCCTCCTGAACGCTGGGATTACAGGTGTGCACCACCATAGTGGGCCAGAAAGTTCTGCTTCTATTTCCTACTGAGATTCAAGAGTGCAGTGCTGAGGTAAAACATGAATAGACTGCTATGAGAAAAGACCACCAGACAGCTACACTGCTGACTCACTCCACAGGGGCAGGCACTTCGCAGAAGACGGTGCTGCAAGCCTACAGACTCAGGAGACACGGATGCAAAACAGCCCTGCAAATCAGAAAGTCAGAGGACAGTCAGACTGGGAACTTCAGAGGAGGTGGAGGAGAATCAATATGGAAATCAGTTATCGTACAGAATTTTATACCTCTGAGTCAAAGAATTTTAACCCTCACAGCAAAACACTCATATTCAGATGCCTGGATATGAAGGTAAAATGCTCTAAGGTCAGAAACCCTTCCGGACAGGGGAAAAGTTTTCTACAAAAGGAAGAGAATCAGGCCGACAGCACATCAATCAGGAAACTGCTAGGAAAGGAAGGATGGCCTAAGCATTTACAGAGACTCGTGAACTTTCATTTATGTTAAGGAGGGAAAGAAACATTTTTAGACACACAAAGGCTTAGAAATGAAGTACTATTTCCTGCCAAAAGTCGTCTGAGGAAATAGTCCAGCCCAACAGCAAAGTGCAGATAAGTAACTCACATGAGAGAATCAAGGACACGAGAAATAAAAGCCACATATATAATATACAGATATGTATGGAGAGACAGAGAAAGATGAAACAGATTTTCATGAAATAGATTTTCAGTACCGGGGATCAAACTCACATCTGCGTGCTTACAAGGCAGGCGCTTTTGCCGCTGAGCTAAATCCCCAGCCCCTGATTTTTTTTTCTTCTTTTTTTGGTGGTATTGGGGATCAAATTTATGAGCTTACAGTGTTAGGCAAACAGTCTACTACTGAGCTCTGAAGTAAACAGTTTTATGGGCAACTCTAAATCAATAAACGTCGTGAAAAACTTGTAAGAAACTGAAAGGGTATGATGGTCTTTCTTCAGAGTTGCTATGCCCTGATGTTTCATAGATGGGATGTATCAAATCTTCAGGGTGCAGAAAACTCCTATATATTCTTTTCCTCCAACATAGAAAAAATTGGCTAGCTTCCCAATTCACTCTTTGAGAGAAAAAACAAACAAAAAACCCACCAAAAACCAAGCTTGCAGTTAAACTCATCAAAGCTGGCAGAAACTCCCGGTAACTGCTGTAGGGAAAGACGTGACTAGAACACTACAGAGTCCAAGAACAAGACCGAGCAGGAACACACGGCATGCCGGAACTGGTGTTTCCAGGGGAGTGGGGCGGCAGGCACTCAGTAAGTGACCTGGGGTAACTGGGAGTCCGCTAGGAAAACGCAGATCTGGATCTCCAAGTGTAAGTCAGGAGAAACGCCTTGTGAATTACAGACATCAACTTCCCAGAGCCAACAACTGAAACTCAGCATAAGGAAACACAGGAAAGTATTTTTTGTTTTGGATGGGAGAAGGCTTTTTCCTTAGCACGACAAAAAACGGCCAAAAAGCTACTTTAAGAAAATGATTTAACCACCTTAATTCTTAAAATTTCTGCATGCTGTTAATGGGGAAAATTTGTGAATAATTAAAATGCACATACCCTTTAATGTGGACATTGTAGTCTTAAGAGATGTGACTTTCAGACATAATTACACACTTACGCAAAGACGCGGGAAGGAGACTCATTCTGATGCGGTTTGTAACAGGGAAAACCTAGGATCAACTGAAATGTCTAAACAGTGTGCTACAAAATTATGATAAATTCATGCACTAGAATATTATGCAGTTGTTAAAGAAGTTAAGTCTAGCTATGGAAAGATAATCGGAATAAGACTTTTAAGATTACAAACCAAAACAAAAATGTAATTCACAGGGTATGGTATTATTCCACTTACATTTGTATGGCTGAATAATGTAACCACATAATACTTAGTCCTGTGCTAAGAAACATTGTTTCAAAACGTGGAAGCATAACAGTGCTGTACTTCAAGGAATTAATGAAGGAAGGCTGAAGGGAAATTTTAAAATTTTATTTCATGTAGGTTCATCTGCTCATTATAACAGGTACATTTTAAATGATACGGCACAAGACACTGTGGGTAAAGCGTGAGCAATGAGAATCCGAGGAAGATGTGTACAGAGACCACTGCTAACAGCCTTGCTAGGTCACGAGCTGCAGGAGGCGAGATGCCAGGAGCAGCAGCTGTGATTTACAGAGTGGTCCCCACACAGGCACCTGCTCAGCCACCCTCTCCACAGCCCCAGAGGTGCTGGTGTTGCCAGCTCTGTCTTCTAGACGGGACACCGACACACACAGAGGCGAAGGCACTTGTCCACGGTCGAGAGCCACGAGGGACAGAACAGGGATTCGAATGTGGGTGGTCTAGTCCAGAACCTGAGCTACTTTGGTACAGAGTAACAGGCAAGAATTACTGTAAGTCAATTTGTTTGAGAAAAAAAAATTTACTAGTGAGGAAAAAAAATGGCCAGAAACCCCAAAACTATTTGATCTTATGATAAAAAAGGTGTATTTTAAATAACAACTACAAAGAATAATTCACTGGTAATGAGCATATGGGGAACTAAACCCCTGCTCTGTCATGTACTCTTGGCACTGAATCCAGGAGCCGGAGCTACTTCCCTGCTCCTCCTTACTGTTTTTATTTTGAGGCAAGGTTTCTCTAAATTGCCCAGGTAATCCTCCCACCTCAGCCTCCCCTCAATACATCCTGTGTCCTAAAACTTACGTAATAGGCATCAATTTGTAAAATCTACACGTTCTTTGACTCGGCACTTCTATTTCTAGGAACTTATTTTGAGGATGAGAGAGTAAAGAGGTAAATATGCAAGAACTCCTCCTGTCAGGTGAAAATTTGGGCTACAAGTATTACATATAAATATAAATATATGTATATATTTTGTCTTTTTCCTTTTTGTCGGTACTGGGGATCGAACTCATGACTTCTTGCTTTCAAGGCAGGTGCTTATGTCGCTGAGCTAAACCCCCAGCCCTCTACATATAAATATATTAACTCTATTTCTGTACCCACGGACATAGAAACACTGGTTATCTCTACGTTGTTACATTACTTGCTTCTTAAATACTCTGCATGTATTAACTTTTTTTTTTTAATCGGTACCGGGGATCGAACTCCTGACCGCCCACTTGCAAGGCAGGCACTTAAGCCACTGAGCTAAATCCCCAGCCCTGCATGTATTAACTTCTATAAACAGAACTAGTGCAGTGACATTTTCATACATACATACTACATACATTTATTTATATTTACATCAAGTTTAGTGCCCACCCTGAGTGTGATGTGACTCAGAGCAAAACAGTAGTTTTTTTTGTTGTTTTTGAGACAGGGTCTCCCTATGCAGTGCAGGCCAGCTTTGAGCTCATTTTGTAACCCCAGCTGGTCTCAAACTCAGCAAAGGATCCTCCTGCCTCAGCCTCCCAAGTGCTGGGATTATAGGCGTGAGCCACCACGCCTGGCTCAAAGCAGTAGTTTTGTGCTGTACACAAACCACCAAGAACACTGGTTCCCTGAAATCTGAATCCTACGTGACAAAAAGACAAGGCCTGGGCTGCGGCAAGGGCATGGCCAGCACTGCCCTCTCATGCATGACTGGTCCCTGCCCAGGCGCCATCCGCTCCAGCTCCACACACAGCTGCGGCACAGAGCCAAGGCCTGCATGCTCTTAAATTAGAGGCTAACATATGGCCAGGGAAGACAGGACTCGGGGCTTTTAGTTGGAAAACGAAATCTTACTTAAAACTTGTTTCATAAAGAATTTCACATTTTAGTAAAATTCTGAGTCTACCACTTTAGTTAAATTATCAAATGTAAAAAGGATTTCTGAAGGCAAAACCCATTTCTAAGCTCATAAAACAGTCTGCTATCACAGGAGAGTGCCTATTATTTGAGCTCAGGAACCAGCAAACTGTTTCTGTAACAAGCCAAATAACCCTCTTACGCTCTGCAGGCTGTGTGGCCTCTGAGGCACTGACTGAACTGTGCCACTGTGGTGGGAAAACATAGTAAAAATAGGTGAGCCTGTAGGGGGTGTAGCTCAGGGGCACAGCTTCCGCCTGGCAAGGGCAAGGTCCCGAGTTCCGCCCCCCTAAATGTGAACAGAGAGTGATCACTGTGTCCCAATAAACTCATTTTCTGATGGGGGATTCCCCAGGAAAGGAACTCAGGACCCTGGGTTGCCAGGCAGGCGCTTTTGTGCTGCTGAGCTATACCCCTGGCCCCAAACTCAGTATCTTTTTCTTCATTTTCAAAAGTACTTGTTGGGCCAGACCTGCTGTAGGCTATAGCCAACTCCTATTCAGTCGACAGGTTTGCAGCTGACCAAGACTGCAGAAGGGCACGTGTGTGCGTGGGGCGGAGGAGGACCAGGGTGCCAGCCGGCATCTCACTCTGCTGGTGAGAGCAGCAGTGGCCGAGGGGACTGACAGACAGACAGACATCTCCTGACCTCACAACGAAATGCCTGCACCATGGACCCCTCCCAGAGGGAAGCAGTGGTCTAAGGTAACCCTCACTCGCCCACCCAGTTCTCCCCTTTAAGCAGCATAAACATGGGAGGAGAAAAAGTGTGCTTAGAGAATCAACAATGCGGACAGAGGAAAGTGAGGAGTTAAAGAGGAGCTGTCAGAGACCCCGAGTCCCCGAGGGGCAGTGTACTTATCCTGACTGATGCTCCAGAGGGAGAGAGACAAGTGGCCAAGATGCCCTCCACATTGCTTTTGTTGTGAACTATATTTACTCCAAAATACTTACTGAGAACCAACTAAATACCAGGCATTGTACTGTTTAGACACAAACACTGTCATAATGTTTTTCCAAAACTGCCTGTTAATAGAATGCATTTGAATTATAGACATATGGAAGCATCCTGTGTATTTTTAAGAATCTTTCAGGTACCCTAATTAATAAGTTACTAAAGCTCATGAGGTTCTTTTTGAGTTAAATCTCTCTTTTTTTCCCCCAGATTAGCAACAGGCTCCCAGTGAATGGATCTGTGAGGTTTTTCTTTTGCAGACACCACACACACCGTGCGTGACAGTACACCAGAGGTGGTGCACTGTAGGTCTGCCCATGTTCTAAGAGGTTCGTCCTACGACTAAGCCCTCGGGAGGGCCTCAGGGGAACAGCTTCCTCCCTGACTCAGCCAGGTGGAGCACTGGTGCTGCCCGGAGGTGCCCAGACCTCTGATGCGCAGCTACTTACGGCGAAGGGGTGGTAGGGGGCAGTGGGGGGAGCCCCTCGGGGCCCTGCTGGTGGAGGCAGCACAGACAGTCCTGTTGAAAAGATGCCAAGTGCGCTGAGGTTCAACCCTGGTATCAGATTGGCTTGTTGCTGGGAACAGAAACGGAGAACACAGATGAGGGGAGGAGACCGGGGAGGCCCAGCTCGGCTGGGGCCTTCTGTCTGGAGAGCCAGCATCTCCCCCTCAGCTCTGCCCTGGCCCAGGGACCTTTCCACTGCGTGCTACAGGAGGACACCCAGCCCCCGCCTGACCACGGATGGCCACGGATGGCGCTCATTCGAAGCTTCCCCACAGCCCTGGCAATGGCTGCCCATCTTAACGTGGAGAAAGAGGGCTTCCTGGGGATCCAGTCTCTCTCCTGCCAAGTCCTCACTCCCACCTGCTCCGTCTGGCTCCCTAGACACCCCACATTCTCTCTCAGCCCCGGGTCTCCCCCAGGAGCTTCTCTCCCACCTGGCCCGGCTTAGTCTTTTCCCTCAGGCACGAGGCCCAAAGGCACTGGCTGCGCCCCCTACAAGTCTGGCTGGTTCCTCAGACCAGCACCCGTCACGCAGAGCTTCTCTCAGCTGCTCACTCCAGTCTTCACTCTGGACTGGAATGTCCCCAAAGGACAGAGGCTGTTTGGCCTAGCTCTGCATCCCAGTGCCTGGTACATAGTAAGTGCTCAATAAATATTTGTTAAAGGATACAGTGAGAACAAATTGGAAACTAACGCTTATTTCCCTAACTAACCGCAGACAGAGCAAGCTCTGCCTTAGGAGACCACAGTGGTAAACCACACTCCGCAGGTGAGGTGAGGAGGGCTCACAATTTCCGTCTCTGCATCATACAGTTGCCGGCTTCATGGTGGTCTCGGCTGCTTCTTTCACACCTAACCCTGGGGCTGCTCCGATGGGCAGAGGCGAGGCCCCGCCTTGCAGCCCATCAGGCCCTCATCTTTGCCTCCCTCAATAAGAAGCAGTTTCTGACATTTCCTACTTTGTTCTCTGCGGCCAGTCTCCCATCGCTCCCCTTCTTTGAGAATGGCTGTACTGGGACAAGAGAACCAGGGTCCTTCGCCTCTTCCCCATTTGCTGTGTAAGACCTGGGGATCGTGTGATTCATCTGTTCGAGCACGGCTTTGGTACAGACATGAATGAACTTAAGCGATGAGCTCAGGTATGGTTTTCTCAGCATCCAGGCCCTTTCAAGCATTTCCAGGTGTGCAGGGAAAGTTATTTCCTATCAAGAGCCCCAACAGGGGAATGAGCCGGTATGACATGGAGGGACACACCCATAGGCCCAGCACTCTGGAAAATGGGACAGAAGATCACGAGTTTGAGACCAGCTTGGGCTTCATGGAGAGTTCCAGGTCAGCCTGGGCTACCACACTGCAAGACCCTGCCTTACAGGAAGTACGTCCCAACACAGGGAGAAGGCCACACCGCTGTCTCCTCCTCCACCCTCCTCATCCTGTCCCGCAGTATGTGGTGAGTGAGGTATTCCGGTAAGGACTGGGGTGACGGAGGGGACAGTGCTGAGTGGGTGAAGGACCCGGGAAGGACTGCAGTGCGGGAGCCAGGGTTGTCCCACAGAGCTGTGTCAGCCTGTCCTACTCTGCTCAGTGCTGCCAGCTCCGGAGTCGGCCGGTCACTGTAGGGATGGGAGTGGGCGGAGGGGCTGGTGGGCACAGCAGGCCGCGGGTCGGTACCCATGGAAGGGCTCAGCACCCTGTGACTTCCAAGTCTCGTAGATGGCACGGAAAGTGTATGGAGCCTGGCTCTGCTGAGGACCAGTTCTTTTTAACATTATCTGGAAGGTGAGATCAGTGTCTCCCCACCATAAAGTGGGAGCTAGATAGCAAAACAGGAAGGATAAACCCAAACTAACCTGCTAGGGGTACTAGTGAGTGCTGGGGGGTGCAGCGTTTATTAGGTGATCCACAAGTGCGGGCCAGCAAGTAAGAGATCCGACTCAGAAGTGAATTTTAAAGCACATACATACAAACTTAAAAAGCAACAAGACGGTATTACTGAAAGTAGGGGGCAGATCCTACTTCCCCAACCTACCAAGATTTTAATTTTTGTAGGTAGTTTCCTAATCTTTTTTTCTAATCGGATTATTGATTAGAAAATCATATTATTGATCCATATTATTTTATATGATTTATAACCCCAGTCTGTTTTCTTAATAAATGCTGTATCATAAGCAGTTTTTCATCATACAGTCTTCAAAATTACTATTTTACGGCTTCACACTATTGCGTCCAGGTTTGTGTCCGAGGTGATTTCTCAGCTGTGTCCGGATGGGCCTCGTGTGTTTACGCTAGGATCTCGGGGAAACTCTACATCCCGCCTGGAAGGCAGCCCCTCCGAGCCCAGCAGGCTCAGGTCCTCCCCAGAAGCACACAGAGAAGTGGTGGCAGCAGCACGGGCACTCACATGAACGGCCAGCATGTCGTTTTCAAAGGCCTCACGAAGCTTCTTCATGATCTCCACTTCGGCGCTGGCGCAGGCTTCCACCGCACCCTTCACAGTGATGGTTCGCTCAGGGTTGTAGATGCTCAAATCCTGCAAACTGGCCAGCGGGAAAAAGAAAAGAGATTATGTTCCAGAAAAATCGCGAATGAGTTTTGGGCAACGGGAAGGTGAGATTTTCCTCCTCAGAAAACCTTGTATCTTATCGGTGACTGAGATGGCGTCCAGCGGGAAATGTTTTATGGGCAATAATGTATTCATTTTTGGTGATGATGGAGACAGTTACATCATTTATGATTATACTTTCAGTCTAGGGAAAACGCGTGGATGAACTGTGCCCGTCACAGTATTCATTACTGGACACAAACTGAAGGGGGGCTTACGATGAGATTGTAATCTTGGTCCCTGTCTCGTGCTCAATTTTCTTCAAATTTCTGCCTTCTTTGCCAATCAGCCTTCCAACCAAGCCATTGTGGGCCAAGATTTTCAGAGGAATCTCTTCGGCTCTAAAAAAGAGAGGGGTGATTATTTAACATTTCAGAGACACGTGATGGCCACCTCTGAAGAGCTGCTGCCCTGCTTTTCTCTGATGAATGGAAGCCAAGCTGTCCAGGTACCTGGCTAAGGGTACCAAGTGGGGAGGCCAGGGCCCCCGCTAAGCGCAGCTCATGACTTCTGATCAACACAAACCAAAGCCATGATCATGCTAATTGGTCGGAAGTGGGTCCACAAGGCAAATCTGGCCAAAGCTATGAATTAGAAATAGAGTTATCCTATAATCCAAGAATCCACTTCTAGATCTGAAAGAACTGCAAACAAGTTTTTAGGTTTAATAAAATTTATTTACTTTTTTGGTATTGGGGATTGAACTCACAACCTTGCACTTGCCAGGCAGGTTACTATGCCACCGCTGAGCTAAATCCCTGGCCCGAAAACAAGTTTTTAAAGAACTATTTACAAAGCCCATGTTCATGACAGTCCTATACACAATAACCCAGAGAAACAGCTCACAATACCCATCAGCAAATAAATAGATACACCAATGTGGTTTATACACATATGTAACTTTTATTCTTCCTTATTTAGAAAAAGAAAACCTGGTGCGGTGCTATACTATGGGTGGACCTCAAGGACAGCATGTCTACTGAAATAAATGAGTCACAAAAAGACAAACACTGCACGATTCCACTTATATAAGGCATCGTCAGTCATTCAATTCACAGACAGGAAGTAGCGCGGTTGTTTACCAGAGGTGCAGAGGCAGGAGGGAGAATTAACGGGTACAGAACCCAGACCCGCACGATGAAGAACTCTGGACCTCTCTTCCACAACCGTGTGAATCAATGCACTTAAACACTACGTAACTGAACACTTTTTTAAGAGGGTTAAAATGGTAGATTGTAAAGATGACCTCCTTTTGCAAGTTCAGTGGATTTTTCTGTGGCAATGCAAGATCTGAATCACCACAACCGTCCTGCCAGTGCCCTGGTAAGGAAAGCGAGGCAGCCAAATGTACCAGTCTTTGGGCCCAGGACTCAACTGACCCTGGCAGGATCATGTTAACTTTATGTGATATGTGACAGTCTTTTTTTTTTTTTTTGAGGCAGGGTCACTTCGTAGCCCAGGCTGATCTGGAATTCACAGCAACCCTCCTGCCTCAGCCTCATGCATGTTAGGATTACAGGCCACCACACCTGGCTTTTTTTTCTTTAAAGTTCTGTCTTACTACTACACTGATTGTGTTTTCTCTTACTGGACACCAAGAGCAGCTCATGGTCACACTACTAGTGTCTCAGAATAAACAGGATGCTTGAAGAAACTCAACTAGGTTTTAGAGGCAGGGGGCTTCTGTCAGCTTTGTTCACTCCAAGTTTGAGCACACAGAATAACGCTGGGATGCGGTACCTGCCCAATACATATTTGGAGAATGAATGAAAAGAGTTCTGAATCCCTGTTCTCCTGCATCTTTTACGTTCTACTTCTCTCCCTCTCCGGGGCTGTGTCACGCCCACTCCAAGGCCTTCGCCGAAATCCTCTCAAGTCCTTTCCTGTCCCCTCAATTCTGGACCAGGGCCTCTTGCTATGCTGCGTCTCTCTGCCAGGGCACTGATCACCTGGCTGCATTACTCACAGGTGTAATTATCTGCTTAATGTGTGTCCCTCCCCCTGGCACCCAAGTGCCACCAAAGCAAGGGCCGGGCCCCGCTGCTTGCTCATTTCCAACCCCAAGTCAAGTGCTTGGTGTGCCGCAGGCACCCGGGAACGTTTATTTCAGAGACATTCAAGCTCTTAGCGTGGCCTACATAAAACATTAAAACCCAATTAACACAGCAGCCTTCGTGACTCCTTAGAATTTTGTAGGTTTCTTGTGCCTAGGTCAAAGGAGCAAGAAAGGTGTAATCATAAAATCCTCAACAATTTGGAAAGAGGGTTTCCTTAGTTTATTTTTAAATTTTTAAAAACTGTTTTTATTCTCAGTTTAAACAAGGGCATCTGCTGGCATTCCAGAAACCTTAAGAAGAGCAACTAACGAGTAAATGAAAGATGAGAGACTCATTCATGGAACTTGAGAATAATTCTGCAGTGCTGCTCTTTTAAAAGTGACTTTCATCCTTTTAGTCTTGCAACAATATGCTTGACATTATTTGCCAAAATCCTTTTACATTTAAGTCGTCTTCCCAGGTTCTCTATAAAACTGCCACTACTGCCCACAGATTGGCCAAAACTACAGTCTTTTTTAAAAAAAAAAAACCTATAGTTTATTCTATTTCTATTACTAAATCAACTCATTTAGTAAGAACTTGCATGCGCCACTCACACTAACTGACATGAAGCTCAACCATACTGTGGACTGGCAAGAAGAATTTCGTATAAACAAGCAGGAGATAGAAGAAAAAAGAGGAAGCAGAGTACAATAACTAGCTTCTACGATCAGGGGAAATCAAATCTAATTTTATGATCTTAAATGGCTGAGAAGCCTGAAAGAGAACATCCTTTTCCGGACATGAAGGGGTGGCTTTGGGGACCCTCTATCTCCTACACCTCCAGTGTCTGGCCACTCACACGGCTTTCACATTAAAATCAGCTCAAGTACAGCATTCAGTGTGTCCACGGCCCCAGTCACCTCACCAGCACCCACAGCAGTGTGTGGCCAGTGGCTGTGTCCTGCGCGGTGGATGCACGAGTTCTACTGGGCAGCACGTGTGTGTATGTGCCTACCGCCAGTGATGGAAACACCAGGGTCACCAAAAGGCCAGTGCAGGAAGCCACCCTGGGGCCGGGGATTAGAGCTCAGTGGCAGAGCAAGTGCCTGGCAAGCACAAGGTCATGAGTTTGATCCCAGTACCAAAGGAAAAAAAAAAAACCCAATAACCAAACCAACCAACCAACCAACCAAACAAACCAAAAAACCCCTACTGTAAATGTATTCTTTTTGGAAACTTATTTCTTAAATATTCATCTCCCCCACTCCAACTCTCGTCTTCTTTCCTGAGTAACAGACTGAAGAGGTTTTTTTGGTTTGTTTTTTTTGAGACAGGACCTCACTATGTACCCCAGGCTGGCCTCCAACTCATGGTGACCCTCCTGCCTTAGCCTTCCCGAGTGTTGGGATTCCAGGCATGTGCCACCACACCCGGTTCCATCTAGAGGCTCTGCCACGGCTCTCACCCTTATTCTGTGGGCCATCCAGCACCGCACTCAAACTCACAGTTTGGTCTCATCAGCCTCCTTCTGCATGATTTCAAGGATCATGCGGCAGGCTTCGGATGTCCCCTCTGGGGTGGCATGGATGGTGACAGGCTTCTCTGCAGCCCCGGAGTTCTCCTTTCTGTGGATGTCTACCCTGTAGGAAAGAGTCGGGAGCCATGAGCAAGTCACCAGCTGGGAATGGGCTGAGTCCCCAGGGCAGTTACCATACCAGTTCCCGTACAGCAAGGACACAGGCAAGAGAGCATCACCAGCACGGTGTCACAGCCCTTCCCGAGGAGGAGGCAAGCAGTGCGGGGTCCCATGCCAACTGTAATCCTCTGCCACTCCTGCCCTGCCCTGTGACCAAGGCGCCACGCCAGCGTGGTGAGGCAGCCGGCCTGATAAATGAGGTGCTCCGTGCAGCCTTTCCTCAACCGCACACATGAAGAGGAAAGCGGGAAAATGCCGCACACTGGCACAGGGCCGGGCTCTGAACCCAAATCCAAACACCAAGTCCAAGCGGGCTCCACAGATGTGCATGTGGACGGGACACAGAGGCAGTCCCTCTCTGCCTCTGGAGGCTCTGGTTCCCGTTCTCTGAGCAGCCTGCCTTCTTCAGGCTCTTAAACAGATGGCTGGCGAGCTTGATGGCTTTATCAGACATCTCGGGGTAGCTTGTTTTTGATAACTTTCAAAGTCACGTAATTGATCACAGCCCTTTGTACTCTGGCTGTGGGAAAAGCCAGAGTCAGTTCTCCAGCCTCCTCCTTAAAAATGGGTACATACTTTGAGAACTAATCTCACTTTGATTAAACTTGTGCCATTTTTTAAAAGTCACCTTATGCAATTTTTGGAATAAAAAGACATACAAATGAAAATAACTTTAATAGTGAAATGAACTTGGTAAGAAAGAAAGGGCTGAGTTTTAAAATGAAAGGAATAGACAGTAACTCTACTACTTCATCATTTCTCTGCTAAGATTGTACACTCAGAACCTCGTTTATACCAGGGTCTCTTCTTGGGCATCACTTGGACACCTGAAGGAAAACAGTATTTTCTCTTTCAGCACACAAGACACTCAGCAAGTGACCTGAATGAAAGGCCCCAGCTCCTGCCCAGAACTGATATGCGTTAGTCACTCGGTGCTGTGCAGTTTACAACGTGCTTTCCTATCGATGATTTCATTCAGTCTGCCTCATTATATGAATTTCCACACTAAACCTGGCAGAACACAGTCATCTTTTTACATAAGAAGCAACTGATGCACGGAGCGGTCAATTTTTCCCCGAGATCACAGAGTCATCAGGTGGTAAACCTGAACGTGACTCACTGCTGTCAAGTCCTATACTGCGGTTTTATGGACACAGTTAATAAAATTGCTAACTCCCTAAGTCACTGCATCCACAGCTCCTTCTACCATTCAGTTCCTTCACACAGAGGAGACCGAGCACAAACCCATCGAACCTTCTCGCTTGCTCCTCGCAGCAGTGACTCACCACCCAGACGTGAGGCTACCTAGGTGGTCTCGAAGAACAGCTGCCCCGGGGCTGTGACTCAGCGCAGCAGAGCTCAGCAGAGCAGGTTCTAGGGCCTCACAGAGCCCCATACCTTGGCTGTTTCAGGCCTGGACACAGTCCCAGCCCCGAGTTAGCTATGGGAACTGCCCTGGCTGTGAGGTCATCGGTGCCCTCCACAGGAGCCCTTAGCTGTTGGGGTGTGTCTGTTACACTATTAGCACAAAAGCTCATCATTCAGGGCCCCCAGCTCGCTGTTAGTCTGTTAGTAGTTCTGCTCCAAGCTGCTGTCCCATTCAGCACAGAACCCATAGTGACCTGAGGATGCCTCAGACCCACCAGCACAGGGGACCCCTGGAAAGAAGCAAAGGAAGCCCCGGAGGCACGTACCGGGACTGCGTCTGCTTAGTGATGTTCTTTATGGTCAAGCCCTCCTTTCCGATGATGGCACCAACAAACTGGGTGGGGACCAGGATCCGCAGCGGGAAATCAATCTGTCTGGCCTGAGAAGAGCCCCCAGGGGCGTGGCCTTGCTCCCGGGAAGAGTGGTCCCCACGCTGGGCTCCCTGAGGGGGCGGAGGGGAGCTCACCTCTTCATCTGGGATGTAGGAAATCTTGAAGGAGTAGTTCTCAAACTGATGCCCACTTAGCTTCTCCATGGCTCTGAAATGAGCAGGGTGGGAGAGCTCTGTCAGAGAGCAGCACTGAGAACGCCTCTCCTGAGGACTGGTGCGGTCACTCAGTTTCCTGGGTGTCCGCAAGGGTGTGGTGCCAGGCCCCAAATCAGTGCTAAGCGAGACAAATGCCATCTTTGCTCCTCAGAGCTCACAGCTTTTTAAGAAACCATCTAAAGCTGCAGCTCTCTCACCAACATCTCTGTCAGAATCATTATAAAGTTAGATTCATTTTTTCTAACTTTAATTCGTGACTATCATTAAAAATAGAAATAGATAAGTACAAATTTCAAAATCCAAACCATCCTGGATCTTTTCTATCTTTCCTAAATATAAATGTGGATTAATACTATACCTGGTATTTTCTAACCTCTAAAGGTTAATAATCTTTCATGCCACATCATAAGTGTCTTCTGATAGAATGTTCAGTGGCTGTGTAACATTCTGTTGATTTCACATTCCATGGGTTTTGCAGCTGATCTTCCACTGTTATACAGTTTGTTGTATGATCCTTTACAGTTACATAGTATCTCTGTGGGCATTTTTGCAACTACGAATTCCTAATTGAATCCTGCATCAGAGAATACTGAAGTCTATCATTACGCTCAGGGGTTGCCCAGAGACCTTCTGGAGGATTTCAACATTTACTTCCCATGGAAGTTTAGTGAAGCGTCTATGTCCTCAGTCCTCCAAAGCATGGAGCATAGTCATTTAAAAACTGTTACTAGCACAGGAAGGTATAATTGATAACCCAGAGCACAGAATGGCAGTGCATGTGTCTACCACAGTGGCAGCTGGACAAAGCCTGCAATGGTGAGCTGCTGGTGGACACACATGCATGCAGAAGTTAACAGTAAATGAACCGTTCCTTTCTTCAGTGCAAAACTGACTTTCTGAAAAGTGTCGGCTTCAGAATGAATTAGTTAAACCTGTCTTTATGTGTGTTGAAAACCTGCAAAAGAAGTACAGTACAGCCCAGGAAGATGTGTAACAGGGGTTACGACACATCCATCAGGGCGACCACTTGTGACTATGGTTTTGGTAATCAGGACCTGACAGGAACTTCAAAGACCTCCCACAAAAAGAAATTTGCTTAATAAAACAAAACAAAACAAAAAAACCAAACTCAATTTTTTAAAAAAAGGGAAAAACCAGCTCAATCCCATAGTTGTTAATAGCTAAGCTGAAAAATTAGCTGTCATGGAAGCAAGTCAATAATGAATCAAAGCCATGTCCCACTCAGACACAGTTCGGCCTATCACTGCCACTGTGGTGGGTCCTCTTCAGCCCTGCACACAGGAAAAACTGATTTTCAGTATCTATCCAGCAGGTATAGAAAGAAAAGGATCATGCACCTTCCTCACGGTGCAGAGGAACCCCCAGGTAAGAGGAGCTTTAAGTAGCTGTCAAAGCAGAGAAGACAAGGTGTCGTGGAGCTGGTGGTGCCCTTGATTTCTGATCATGCTAAGACACGGCCTCTGCCATGGTCTGGATGCCAAAGCTCAACGTCTTTCAGGGAGAATTTCTGTCCAATCAACAAACATGATGGTATGGGTGCCCTGACACTCCACTTACCTGCTGGAGGGTGTAGCAGTGTCCAGGACCTGTACCAGGACATCTGACATACCTCAGGTGCCACACAGCACCCTAGATATTATGGTCCAAGGGATATGACCCTATGGATCTTTCCAGAAAGAGTTTATAAACACAGGCCTCAGCAGAATAGCAAAGCAAAACGAAAATAAATTGGAAAGGAAATGAGCTCAGATCCACTTACATTTTTGCTTCTTCTCTTGTTGCATATGTGACATTGACAACAGCAGTTTCTGTGTCTGTGTTGACTGGGGAAGAAGAGAAAGCGTGTTGTTGTTTTAAAGAAAGCTGTCACCCCATGGCTCCAGGCAGACAGAGAAATGCACAAAACACCTCATCACCTGAACTCTGTAGTTCTTTTGAGTTTCTATATTTATACTCCTGCTGTTCACAGTGATTTGTAACCAACTGCATATGTAACACAGAGCTACTGGTTTCATATATTCTATGAAGACTCCTGTGTGAATACTTACATCTGTCTGTTTGCCTGCTCATGTCGTTTTTAATTCTACATAGAGCTGCTGTCAACAAACGCATGATTTTTTGCCTAACCATTCTTCCAATGGCAAATTAGCGATTCCCAGCTTTGCTATTCTATTATTGCTAAACATCATCTATTACAAAACCTCATTTGATTTGGTATTTTAGTACCAGGAATCAAACTCAGAACCTCAAGCTCCCCAGGCAGGCATGTGCCACTAAGCTATATCCCTGGCTAAGAAATGCTTAGCCAGGAGAGTGACCCAAAGAAGAGCATTTTCTGGACATGCTTTTAATGCATGTTGTGAAGACTGCTTTCTCTAGAGGTTTGGATAAATATTTATTTACTTACTTCCTGGTGGTACTGGGAACTGAACCCAACGCTTTTCTACGGAGCCTATATCCCCAGCACTTTTTTAATGTTGAAACAGAGCCTCACTAAGATACCAAAGTATCTAGGCTGGATCTGAATTTGAGATCCACTTGGGATCTGGATTATAGGTGCATGCCACCATGCCTGGTTTGGAGAAATTTATTGTACTACTATTAAGACATGAATTTAAATTTCATAATTTTCTCTATTTGAAAATAAATGGAATACGAAATTAAATATTCTAATTTTGCACACTAAAGTTTTTAATTGATAAAAACTTTATATTTATAGCATGCATTCATTATGTTTTGATAAATGTGTACACTGTGGAATGATTAAATGAAGCTATTTATATACAAATTGTGAGCTAAATAAATTCTTCCACTTTTAATTTTGGGTGTTGGGTATTTTGCCTCAGCAATGAGAGAAAGGTGAAACAGTCTTGCTACAGCCTTTCACATCAGATATCTACTTCTGCAGTCTACTTTTCTGGGAGCTTCAGGTACTGTTCCCCTACCTTTTAAAAATGATGGTTTATGCTTTAGAAATTAAAAAATGAAAGTGACCCAAAGAAGAGCATTTTCTGGGCATCTGCAGTACTGTTTCTCAGAAAAGTTTTCAGACTTGAATGCACACAAAAATCATTTTAGTGTGCTTCATTCATGAGCTTCTCCCCACAGAGTCTTAGCAGGTCTATGGAGACCCCCTGGGAATCTGCATTTCCACACACACAGAAAGAAATTCCTGGTTTGGGGCCCCACTCCTTGGGAACACTCAATCCAACACTCAATCCAAGAGCTGTTTCTCAGCCAGGAAAAGGAAGGTAGCAACAGTGTAAATCCAGTGACTGCCAAGTCACTTAAGCTCACCCAGCCTGACAATGTTTGTCAAATTGTTAAAAAGGAAAAAGGAACTAGGATGGAGACAAGGGGAAAAGAAGGAAGGGAAAAGAGAGAAAAAAAATGCAAGTTAGTTACACTATTAGCGTCTCTTAGTTCACTGGGAAGGAAGATTTGTGTTTCTATCAATTGGAGAATTTTTATGCCCATATCTTCTACTCTGAGTAACTACTTTAAAGATAATAATATGCAATACATTAACTATTATTATTCTATTATCTTATGAAATTTTGTTTTCCCTTTTTTTCCATAAAAAAACCCTAAGTGATATGACTACATACAGATGGACAGACACAGATGTTTCGCGCACACAGGTACACAAACTTACACTCTAGGAAGCATATTTCAAAGAAGTATGAAATTTACCCTTTTTCCTTAGAGTTGAGCCCAGACCATTAAAAATAACAGGCAATGCCCCTCTGCAAAATTCAGTAGGCTGATTTCCTCGCTTATTACCTTGTTCCACATTCTCCACTGTTCCATACTGAGCCAAAAGTCCATCCAATACCTATAAAAGGAAACTTCAGTGTCAGAATGGGAAGGAAAGATCACAGTGCTATCCCCCAGCAAATAAGTAAATTAAAGCACAACAAGGACATGTACAGGAAAATTTAACAAAGCTGGTAATTCACGTCTTCTGTAACAGAACTGAATAAACACACAGCACTTTCATTTGCTTATTGGCCCCTAGGCAATCTAAGAAAACATCACACAAGTTCTGAATCTTGGTTAACTACATTCACCATGGAGGTCAGAACTCACCAACGGTTCCTGAAATGAGAAGCAGAGTAATAGTACAAGGCTCACTTTTCCTTCTTGGATTCTTTCTTCACTTTCCTCTAGGCAGTTCCTTATTTGTTACAAAGTAACGGCATGTATGCATTTGAAACTTTCCATAATAATAATAATAAAAAAAAACTTTCTTGGTACATTCACAAAAATGTTAAGATGCAACCTTCTTTTAAGGTTTCTTTTGGGTTGGGAAAGAAAACATGGGGCAGTTTGTTTTTAATGCAGTAAGGTCACTCCCTATATTCAATCTTATTTTATATATTAAGATAGAACTCTTATTTAAAAGTAGATTTACAGCTTTGAAAATGTATCTTAACTGTTACTATTAGCAGCTAACTCAAAACAAACAAAATCTGCTCAAAATAACAAAGAACTTTCTGTATCTGTTGGTTTTCCATTGATTTTTTTTTTCCAAATCGTAATGTGGAAAGATAAAAAATCTTATACCAAATCATGAGGTTAAAAAAAAAAAATCACAGGGATATATAGCTCAGTGGTACAGCGCCTGTCTGGCAAGTATGAGGTCGTGAGTTTGAGCCCCGGTACCAAAAAAAAAACCAAACAAATAAACCCAACATTACAGAACAGATCATTCTGTGGCACTTGGTGGCCTGACATTTGAGAAGACAGCGTGAGAGATCAAATCTTATTCTACATAATGACAAGGACAAATAGAAACCCAAACTCAAGAGAGACCACTATACCAGGGTACTGAAAAAGGAAGAGCCAGGATCCAGAGAAACCTGAGGATCTCTTAACTCCTAAATGTGAAAGGGAACTAAAAAAACAGGAACACTGTCCTGGTAATCTAGTAAAAAGTCACGTTGGCTTACCTCCCACTGGAGGTGAGGAGGGATATTTCGAATCTGAATTTTCCTGCTCCTGTAAAGATAAAATCAGACTCTGTAACACTTTCTCCAGGACATCAATTTCAGCAAATAACAAGAACAGGCTTAAAACTGAGTTCACTTTCTCACTAAGGATGTCCTCATGTATGACTGAGTTCTGGTCCTGCAAACAGGTCATTCAATGAATTGGTCATGAAATGAGAACGGTATGAAGTGTGCACGTTACAATATTCAGAACAAAGACACAGCGAAAGAAAACTCCAATCTGATGACTTTGCTCTTATCTGCAACTCTTACATGCAGCACTATAATGTCTAATGGAACACAGAACCACAGTACTGTACCATGCAGTGCAGTACAGTACAGTCGGCAAAATTACAGTGCTGCATAGCAAGGTGCACTGTACAGAAAAAGATACTGAGACTCAATAAACAAGATACAGAACTGATAAAAAAAGATGGGTCTTAAATCCAGTCATTAAACAAGTAAGCCATTAAATGAGGAATATCTGTATTTACCAAGACATCCACAAAAGATTCCTACTGTGAACAATGCTGAAAGGTTTTCAACTATGGAGGATGTTTTCTAAGGAACTCTGGCAAGCTAAAGAGACAACAATTTACATACAGATTTACCTTTTCAATTTCCTATCAATGCATTTATACTTTAAACCACCATTTAGATTCTGTTTGTAGAACTACCCTCTCCACATACAAGTCCTGCAAACGGTCCTTCCCCAAGTGGTAGCCAGGTGAAATTATGTATGGTCAAGGCTCAAACAAGGTCCGATTTCATGGGCTTCTTTTCTGCTGTAATACTTATAATTGTCTCTCAGAATAGGTAAAACACTATAAAATGGCCATGAAGTCTTCCTCCCTTCCACCAGAATACTTTCATTCCTTCTTGGTTCACCCTTCAGTTTGATGGGGTGTTTTATCTTTGCTGTTTTTGGTGCTTGGGACTGAACCTAGGGCCTCTGCATGGGGCTATGTACCGAACTCTATTTTAAATTTTGAGGCAAGGTCGTGGGAAGTCACTAAGTTACTTAGGCTGGGTTCAAATTTGCCATTTTCCTGCTTCAGCCTCCCAGAGTACTAGGATTACAAATGTATACCAATACACCCAGCTATCTTCAGTTTTCATTATAAAAACATAAACTCACCCCTTTCTTATAGAAATTTCTGGATATTTTATATGCTCCCTGCATCTTGCTTTCTCCCCACCAGCAGTAATATTTTGGAGCTCCTTCTCTCTTGGTAGACAGAGTGCTTCCTCATGCATATGGGTATCTCTGCACACATTTAGCCCACACTCTATCGATAGACCTTTGAACCTTTCCCTGTCTTTTTTGTCTGAGGCTGTTGCCAAGATATCCTGCTTGCTGGTCCATAGCCTTGACTGATTTAGATCCTTTTTTATGCAAACATTACAATGAGTCAGAAAAACAATTAAAATGTAAAACTAAGCTGGGTGTAGTGGCTCACGCCTGTAACCCAGCACCCAGAGGCTGAGGCAAGAGAATCATTGTGAGTTCGACACCAGCCTGGGCTACAAAGTGAGCTCAAGGCCAGCATGAACTACCCAGTAAGACCCAGTCTCAGAAAGACAAAAAAGGGAGAATCAGCCAGCATCTCCCGAGAACCCACCATGTTGGAACTTAGGGCTCCCCTGGTAAGCAGCCATGAACCTACCAGTGTGCAGGCGGGGAATCAAACATCCAGGCACGCCACCCCCCATTAGCAAATGGGAGCCAGAGATCTGAGCATCTCTTGGGAGGTTGACGGTATGCAATATAGCAAATGTGGGGGATTTCCTGCTACCATGTCTTTGAAAACAAATATTGTTAGCACTGTTTTGCTTTGTTCTGATTAACTGTATTGTTCTATTCAATACTGTTTTGATACGTTCTATAATGTTCTGTATTAAGGTTTTGAAAGGTTTTTGGCCCAGACAGGACACTGTAGCCAGGAAAACCTCAACCAGAAGCCCTATCTCCCCTACCCCTAGGAAGTTTACCTGTGACACCATCTTCCCGCCCCTGGAAATTTACATACGGCGCCAAACCTAGGACCAACCTGTACATCCCTAATGCCCGCCTTAGGTTCCACCCCAAACCGAGGCTATTTACATGCCCCCACACCACGTGTCCACCCCCTGGTCGTCTCTCTCCGGTGTTCTCAGAATAAAGGCCGCTTTTTATTTTATACTTCTCATCTTTTGGAAATAATCCTAGCAGGTTTGATTTTGCTATACTTGATTGAAAGAACAACTATTGTGAAGATAACGAGATACACCATGGTACCTATTACTGTTATCCCGGTAACCTGATGTTAAGTTCTGTACCAATTTCACTGCATTGTCTCGATTGGCTTTGTTCTGTTGTATTTTACTACCTTCAAAATAATTAAAAAAAAAAAAAAAAGCTGTTCTAGCTTTATGTAGTGTAGCAGATCCCAGAGAGAAGACACAATCGGCATTTAGAGGTCAGGAAGGCGGTTTCATTGAGGAGCATTGAAATCCCATCTGCACTCACTGTAGGGGGTTCCCGAAGAAGGACTATAGTGGTCACGTGGGAATTCCCATTTCTTTCCTGCTGGGCCCATGACTCCAAACAGCGGCCTTACATAGCCCTGTGTTTCCCCATGGCTTTAATCTGGGCAACAATCCCAGACAGAAATGCAGCAATTCGGGGCTGGGGATTTAGCTCAGTGGCATAAGTGCCTGCCTTGCAAGCCCACAGTCGTGAGTTCCATCCTTGGTACCAAAAAAATAAAAATAAAAAAGGCAGCAATTCAAGCAGAGAGGGAAAAGAAGAGAAAGGTTGAGATAGTGAACTAAACACAGGACTCGAGTTTTCTCAGCTCCCTGGTGCATGCAGACCTGGGGATAGAGCCTAGGCCCATGGCTGTAGGTTGCATCTCCAGATTTTTTTTTAAAGCCTTAAGAGCAGGTCTCACAAAGTTCCCCAGGCTGAGCTTGAACGTGTGATCCTCCTGCCTCAGCCTCAAAGAGGGCACACTACCAGGAAAAGGGGAAAGCAGACCACAATCATCTACCTTGGCTGGGAAAATTGGGTTACTTTGGCTGATTCTATATTCCAGTTAATTGGTGCTTACAGTATACAGGTGTAGGTCATCAAATTTGAAGAACTACAAAACAAAAGTACTTAACCTCAACTCCTGGAACTAATTCAACTGATGGTTTCCAAAATGTTCCAACATGCAGATACCCAGGTACTCTCTCTAAATGCTATCTTTGTACTGCAGAGGTCACAAAAGGCTCCAATTGAGTGAGTTTCACATATATTAGGTGTCTATTATTAAGAATATCAAGGGCCTGGCAGAAATTATTTTCTCATGGCAGAATTTGCTGCTCAACTAATTAGGCAGTCATCTTGAGAAATAAAATCATATGTAACACTGAAGAATCACTATGGAATTGAAGAACCATCTCATCTTCTTGACCATCTCTACCAAATAAAAGTACCATACCCACTTGCACGGAGGGAGGCTAATGCTGGGTTCTTCAGGTCTATGGTTCATTAAGTACAGGTTTTATCAGACACCTGGGGAACCCTTAATTCAGGCCCTGACCTCGCACCTGCATGTGTAAGTGGAGAACGAACTAACACACATTGAGGGAGCCCAGCCCCTAGAAGCCCTGGGGGCAGTCTGAGCTCTCAAAGATGACAGGACAGCCTCCTCTGGGTGGGAAATCACAGCCCTGTGGAGCATCATGTGCAAAGAGGGACGTGTGTGTTCACTGACTCCCCTCTGGCAGAGCTGGAACTGTAACTGCCAGAGGTCCTAAGCCCAGCAGCCTCTAGAGCAATGGTCACATTCTACTGCAGGTCACACGCTCATGGGCCTGCGGGCCATTTCACTATTTTCCATTCTGCACTAAGGACATCCTGAGCTATACTGAACTAGGTCCCAGGGCTGCTCAGGGAAGCAAACACTCACTGGTGACAGCCAAGTCCAACCGCCTACATTAAGTTCCTCCTCACCCTCACACACACGTTCTTATGTTCTGACTAGTAGCAGTTCTTTGGGCCCAGTCATAAAAGATTAAGTCAGATACTGTGGTGACCCCTTGCAGATAATTCTGAGCCAGGAGAACTGCAGTTATGAATCCACCATAACTTTCTTTGCTCTATAAACTCATGTCCATAAAACCATAAACCTTCATTAGCCCAAATAATTCATCTTCTTGAGCATGCAAGGACAGGACTTCATGGATGTTCACTCCTTGATTGAAACAGAAATCTGTGACTATCATGTCAGTGTCTCAAGTCTGTGTTGCCTGTAACAAAATGCCACAGGTTGTATAACTTATTAACACGTTCCACGGGCTTGAGCTACCTGCGGTACATGTACCACCATCCCATTCGGCTTGTATCACTGCTATGGGAATGTCCCATGCTGCCCAAAGGACAGTCAGTCACCCAACTGTCCATGGTCATTCAAGCCAGCAGGCACAGAATGTGTCCACTTAGAGCCCCGTTGTTAGTGTGCTAACCAAAAGAACTGTCTTCCTCATGGTTCTGTGGACTGAGAAGTCCAAGACCAAGGTTTCAGCATCTTGTGAGGGCCTTTGTGCTGCATGGACCCATGGTGGAGCAGCAAGCAGGGGAGACAGAGGGAGACAGAGAGGGGCTAGCTCTGCATGTTAGTACTTTGGGAATTAAAATTTCAACGTATGGATCGGAGGTGGTCGGGATACACATCGTCCGATAATAGCAACAGTCCAAGACCTTGTAATTCAGTTACCTCCTCACCCCCTCAAAGAACCCCCTCACTCACAGAGAGACTTGGACTCGGGTGTGGTGAGCAGCACTTGCTATAAATGACTGTCAAGCTTCACCCCAGGGCTGGTATTCCACAAGTCTTTGGAAAGCGATGCAAAGGCCATTTCCCATGAAAAGCAATCAGTGTGTCTGTTCACAGACTGTGGCCATCACACATTGTTTGAGTGAAGGAAATCACCAGATTTCTCAGGTTTAATTTTTACCTCTCTTAAATGAAGACTAACATC